GATTTATCAGAGCAAAGTACTTACAACTGCTGATTTGGTGGTGGTTACAATCAGAGTTTCTGGTGTGTGTGGAATTGGTTGTACCAATTGATTGGACCTATCAGATGAACAGATTGTTTCAAAGAAAAGGTGAAGCAGCATTTACTCAAGCAGAATTTGTTGTTTTATAGACAGGCAATCTTTCTCAGCTCTGTTAAGCCTGGCACTGCACAGTGGAATAGACTGGATGTTATAGTAGTTTCCAGGCTCCCATTTTGCATTCCTGAGATATATGATTTTAAATGTCTCCCAAAAGCCTTACTGAAATACCTCCAGAAAATCAGAACCTTTCTTATTCTAGAGTGAGAATGTGAAAAATGTGCACTTGGTGTTTCCTGTGGAGCCCCGTCTGGACCAGCACGGCAGTCCTGTTGGCTCAGGACAATTGAGTGGTTTCCTGACTTGCCCTCATAAAAGAATCCTTACTTTTGGATAATCCCTTCCTTTCTTGGCTTGCATTTTCATTTGGCTCCTATTTGATTTTAATGTTATATTTTTTGTTTTTATGCCTGTGATGGGTTGACCCTGGCTGAACACCAGGTGCCCACCAGAGATGCTCTATCACTCCTCTCCTAAACTGAGAAGGGTAGAGAAAATACAACAAAAAGCTCATGGGTCAAGATGAGGACAAGGAGAGATCCCTCACCAATTACCATCATGGGCAAAACAGACTTAACTTGGGGAAAATTAGTTTAATTTATTACTAGTCAAAGCAGAGTAGGGTAATGAGAAAACAAAAACTAAATTTTAAAATATCTTCCCTGAAGCCTTCTTCCTGTGCTTAATTTTACTCCTGAATTTATCTCCTGCCCTAGAGTGGTTCAGGGGGATGGGAAATGGTAGTTACAGTCAATTCATTGCAAGTTATCTCTGCCACTCCTTCTTCCTCAGGGGAAAGAATCTTCTCAGTCTTGTCTTGCTCTAGTGTGAGAACCCTCCTGGGGCAGACAGTCCTCCATGAACTTTTCCAATGTGAGTCCTTCCCAGGCTCTGCAGTTTTCATGAGCTGCTGCAGTGTAGGTCCTTCCATGGAGTGCAGTCCTTCAAAACCAGGCTGCTCCACACTCTGGCATGGGGACCTCCACAGGCTGCAGGTGCATGTTTGCCAGACACAGGGGAAGTTTCTGGCAGCTTCTCAGAGTCCACCCCTGTGGCCCCTATGTCATGCAAACCTTGCCATGCAAGCATAGTCATAGCATCTTCCAAACTAAAAGGCAGTTTCGTGTTTTGTGCTGTTGTTTTAAAAAAGATAAAGTGAAATAATTTTGGGAGGTAGCAAGTGTTTGCATACATTTATAATTTTGTTGGTCAGATTGTCATTATCACATTACCCTTTTACTAGGGGTATATACCATAACTGAAATGACTGTGGAATGTTTTCCTAACACAAACTGAGCATTGTATTTTACTATGTTTTACAACAGAATTTGAGTCATTGAGGCTTGCTACAGAATCAGTCTTTTCTGATATTTTTATTAGTGACTTTGTCACTAATCTTCAGATGATGTAGAGTTGTGAGATAGCTTCTGTACAGAGGAGAAATGTTATTTTAGTAGGAAGAACTGAGTTATCTTTGCAATGTTGAATAGAGAAATATAGAAGAGCCCTATGTATAAAACCAGTAATAAGAATTTTTGCAAGATATTTTTTACGTGGACAACTCAACAAGGAGGGGTACCTGAGTGCTTTAAATGAGGAGAAGGAACTATTGTCATGATATTATCTTGAGTAAAACAAGTGCAAGGAAAGGATAAATGATGGTCAGTGTGCTGTTGAGGCCACCGTGGCAAGGAGAGTGCATTCTGCTCAGCTTTGTCAAGGCATGGCTGTGGGTGCTCCAGGAAGCATGCTTGTTTCAGTACCTTTCAAGAGCAAGATTCTGCTCAAGAACACAAATACAAACTATTACAATGACATTGTGCAAGAACAACGGGGTGTCTGTGATACACTGTCTGTGGAGCACGTTAGAAATGCCATTTCTGATTTCCATGCTCTGAGTGATTGGAAGGTGGTTTCCAGGGAATTAACAAAAATGGTCCCACATTATTGGTGCTTGTTATGCTGTGTTATTTTTAGATGTTACAGTGTTTTGTATTCAGCCTTTATGTGTACATTTATGTGTATGTTATGAGAAAAGTGTTTTTCTCTCTGAAATTAAGGTTTCTGAAGTGTTGGAAGTTTTCTGTGTCAGTAACAAGAAAGCAAATGCCCAGTAGGATGTTACACAGCACACATTTTGACCATTTGAAATAGTATAGATAATTTTATTCTAGAATAGAGACCGTAATGGAAAATAAGTAGTGAACCCAATAGCAACAGGCCTGATTTGGTCATTTAGATGGCAGTTGAACTGGGGAGGAAGACGAGGTATTATGCAGATATATTGATGGAAACAAGTTCCTACAAAAGAAATGGAGATGCCTGGAATGTGAGGAGCCTGACTGTTACCTGTCTGTCTTACCCGTGTCTGTAGATGATGGTGCAAGGGAAAATACAAAAGGGAAATACACTGAGATGGTCATTGAAAAGAGGTGAAAGTACAAGTGAGCAAGAGCATAAAATGGTGTCTCTGTAAACTAATGGCACCTAATTTATTGTTTTGCTCTTTGAACTATTCATTTTGGTCACATGTAGAGTGACTGAAGGTGTGGTAATTCCATTCTCCAGCAGCAGCAGCAGCACTTCTAAGCTACTTGTCTAATGTAGGTAGAGAACAGGAAGGAACTGAGACATGTCTTGGTTCCAGTAGAGATGTACTTTGCAACCCCTGCCTGGAAGCCTGTGAATTTTTGCTTCCTAGGCACTGCTTGAGAGCTTTACAGTGGGTGACACATACTTGAGCAAGCCAGGTTGTCCAAGGATCTGCATGTAAAAGATAAAACTCACCTCCTCTCATTGACTAGTGCCAGCTTCTCCATGTCACAGAGATGTTGTTTTGGGCAGTGAGCATTGATGACTTCAATCTGCTTAGCTTTGCAAGCCTTCAAGTGACATGCAGCGCTCCACCAGGTATTACCAAGTCTCTAGTAAATGTAACCCTGTCCTGATTGTACTTTATAATTTCAATTTAGCAGTCTCGAAAATGGCTTTACTGTTCCTGGGTCATTGACAACCCTAGTATGAAAGTATCCAATTTTCACATCTGTGTGTACTTCTGCACTTCCCAAAGAGTGACTTGGGCTTCTCTATCAAACAATAAAATTAGTGTTTCTTTAGGAAAAACCAGCTTCTTGTGTTTCTTCTAGTCCTCTGCTTCTTTGGATTGCAGATGCAGAATAATAAATAAAAGGGATTGACATGATTCTATGCAGGAAGGAAAACTGAAATTTAAGAGGGATTCTTTGATATATCAACTGTGAGCTGGCAAATACATCAGACATGAACAGGCATAAAGCTGTGACAGTTTCAGATAAATTCAGGCCAACAGTATTGCCAGTGACAGATTTGTATTGCAATTAACAGGATTAGGGACCAGCATTCTGGTCATGATGGGAATACTATCAAGTGATTTGATTTTTTTTTTTTTAGTTATTTTTTTAGATTTCTTTTCAGCTTCAATTTCTTGGCTTCCTTGAGCAGAACAGTGAAAGCACAATTGGTGTAGCAGACAGACACAGTGTCACTCTTGTCACTACTCAAGGTACTGCTAGTACCTTGAATAATACCTAACCTACTCTCTGTTACTGCTCTGTCACTTGGCTGGAGAGAACGGCTGTTGGATGAAGGAGGAAAGACATTGCTGCATGCTTTCTCTCTCTTTGATTTCTGCTGTGAGCTTTGGCAGGGTTGTCTGGGAAGGCTGGAGGGAAGGGGAGCCAAAGGCACAGTTGGTATGGTGCAAGGCAATGCTTGGGAATGGTATCATCAGAGAGGCATAAAACATAGGACTTTTTATATATAACTAGTGGTTGTTTCATCCTGTCTGTATTTAGACCTATGTACCCTATCTGTCCTCAAGTCTTTGTCTTCTGGTAATCAGTTAGTTTCTTAATTAGAAGATATTCACATATTATATCTAAAGTATTATATGTTTTACATCATATTTAGGTGCATTGCTGAAGGTCAGAATTCTTTAAATACCTTTCCAGAAGGAAATTCAGGACATGTTAGTCTTCCTCTTAAGTGCAAAGAATAAAGGCAGAAGCCAAGTCCTAGTCCCAAAAAATCAGTAGAATGTTAAACTCTGATGGATTTTCTATTCCTGTACTTCCTTATCTGTATTTCAGTTTCTCATGCAGCCTAATAAGTACTATTTGATTGAAGAATATCTTTCAGAAAGACATCGAGACTTGCCTGAAGACACCAAGTGATGGAGAATTCACCACTTCTCTTACCTAATGAACGGAGAGAAGTAGTTGATGAGAGACTAATTTATTCCCTGGTTCAGTTGTGCCTGGTTAATTTATTGCCTATGGTTGATGTGAAAAAGCACTGGCTTTATTTCTGAAAGAACAGCAATGTGGCAACTTGGTTTGCTGAATACTTGCATTTTAACAGCCTCTTCTGTAGAGGACTAGAGTTCCTAGTATATGGTAGTTATTTTTCTGGAGATATATAGAATAAATAAACCTTCATGGCTGGAAAGTTGCATCTAGAATGTTTTTATATCATCAGAGAAAGAGGTAGACATTGGGGAATCTTGTTTTGAGCTTGAGCCTGGAAAAAGCTGTGACTCTAATCTGAGAATCCTTAGCTTCGTGGTATTCAGTTTGTATAGGTACTGCACCACATGGAGTGTGATGTCTTCACTCTGGTATTCCAGCCACAGGTAAAAGGAATTCTTGTTTGTCACTTTATATGCTATTAAATCTATTTTCATCATTTTTTGGTATCTTTGTTCTTCAGGATCAGCTATGGTTATATTTGTGAGTATTACTTGGATAGTACTTGATTATAGTTTCCATTGCTTTTGTTTGAGTGTTTATTTTAAGAATGACAAGTATTTTTTTGTAACTTTGCAGAGTACAGATGCCAATTCAAATGTGAGGAAAAGAACAAATGCCACAGTACAGTCTGAAGCTGATGGTGGGAGCCGAATTGACACAAGGCACAGCTCTGTCCAGCCTCCCTCTGTAGCTCAGGGGTCTTCTGACATTACACCCCACTCCCTTTCTGCATCAAGTCCCAACCCTTTCACACGAATCAACGCATCGGAGACATTATCCTCTGCAAGAGCTACCCCTCCAGCTCCTCCTTCTACCCCAATTTTAACTGGATTTGTATCCCAGCATGCCACAGCTGGATCCCCTTCCATTCAGCACTTGCTTGGATCTAGACTGGAGCAGATTCAGACCACCACACCTAATACATTAGGAGCATCTGCAAAGCCATCTGCTGTCACACCACCTCCTCCCCCTGCCTCCCACTCTGGCACGAGTAAGATAGACAAATATGCACGCATTTTATTTCCTGTTACCTTTGGAGCATTTAACATGGTCTACTGGGTGGTGTATCTATCCAAGGATACCATGGAAAAATCAGAAAGTCTAATGTAGTTTTGCTGCTATGTAGTAGTTCCTAAATTATACTCACATTTGATGCAGAGTTTCTTCTTTTGAAACTATTTAAAAAGGTCAGTAATTCTTATTTATAAAAGCTGTGTGGTACTTTCCCGTTCTAAAGGCTGGAGTTATTGGGGATAATTTGTTAACTCTTAACAGAGTAAAGGGTAACAGTAATGGGTCTTCCTCCCTTCAGCCAGCAATGAACCAACACTTGCTTGAGACAAGCTACTCTGGCTGCACAGAACTTGCAATAGGGAGGAACATGCACCTGAAAAAAATCAGAGGCAGAGGTGCAAAGCTGTGCAGTGGAACACATCTGACTGCTAGGATATGCATGTTGGCTATCACAAATGCTTGAGGCACCCAGCACTGCTGTCTGGACACAGCATTGCATTCTCTGAGTGTGAGGTCTATGTCCTGTATATCTTGACAGTGCTTGCTAGAAAAGGACTTTCCCTGCTAGATTAAAATTGACAGAATGGGGGGAAGAAAATCAATAGCAGCAAAGGGGAAGAAAGTCCAGCCTGGGAGAGTGCAACTCCAGGAAAGTTATGCAAAGGAGTTGTAGAGCTCCGTATATTTTTACTAAGCATTATTTTGCATTGTAACCTAGGAAATTCTCACACCAAACTAGGAATGAGTGAACCTTGTAAAATCTGAAATCTGATGTAATTCTCAAAATTGGATTTTCTTGTTTGGTACGGTGATCTTAAGTGGGCGATTCTTCTTTGACCTTGCTGACCAGCTTGAGTGGATTTATTCCTAAATTACATCAGTTGTAGTAGATGAGGACCAGACCACAATGTTCAACTTTTCATTTAAATTCTTTGCTTTTTCTTTGGATGCTTTGGGTTTGGTTTGTTTTTTGTTTTTCCCCCCATACTTTTCAGTTACACTCCTGATTTCCTTTAAACACATATTCCATCCCGCCCTCCACCTCCTTATGTAATGTTTATGTCAAGTTAAATTTTCAACACAGTTTTAAAAGTGGCTTGAAAATTAAGCAAAAAAAGCCCCATTTCCTGTGCATAGATGAGTGTGGCATGTCACTGAGTAAATGAAAGACACCCTTTTTGAGAAGGACTGCTGTGGTATAAATAAGAAAGTAAACTTTCTAGGTGGATCCCAGGCTAAAAATGTTAATTTACAATCCATTTGTTCACTTTAAACTGTAGCATAGATAGGTGCTTTTCTTACCAAATTGCAGTATGCAAGTAGGCAACATTATTAAAGAGTTGAATAGTTAAACCTGATAGAAATCCTGATCATAAACGTTATTTTCACTAGAACAGGTAGAAAACAAATTGCCAATAAATAAAAGAAATGTTTGTACAGAACTGTCTGGCTTGGCAAATGGTTAGTGTTTCTGTGCAGGTGACAAGTGAGAATCAAGGGCCAAATTCTCAGCTGTGATCTGGCTGTGCCTTTAAAGGGTCTGGACTAATCCTTAGCTTCAGCTGACTGAATAGGAGATTGGTAGCCTATTCTCAAAGTCTTGTGCTGCAGGGCAGATCAGGTGAGTGTTCAGTGGTTCTGTGCCCAGAGAATGATCAAGGGATGTCTGGAGACCACAAGCTGCTGGCAACAAAAGGGATGCATAGGACTGCCCTAGACTATGCTGGGACAAGGGTCAGGGTAAAAAGCCCCATAATGGTGAAACTGTGACTGTGCTCCTGTCTCTCCAAGCCTTTTAGCCAGCTCATGGCTGAGAATCTGACCTTTAACTTGTGGGACCTGGGAGATACTTGGCAAGAGATACTGCAGTGTGCAGTATGGACCCCAGATGGTTCTTTCATGTGTAATAATGAACTGTAGATGATAGAATGCAGTGGAAATGTCTTACAGAACTTTATTATAATGGAGTGATATAATCAGTTGCCTTAGCCTTTCTTTTACTTAAGGGATGCTCTCAAAGGGCCAGGTATGGTTCTTTCCTTTTTCACCTTTTACATCTGGAAGATGGTTGACACTACAGCACTCATTAGGAAAACATTGTGTGGCATAATGGAGAACTGGAAATGGAGCACCCGTGCACAATGTCTAACTGCAGTAGTTTGTATCTTTGGATGTACTGCTAGTTGCTGTAGCTGTTTCCTCTCTAATTAGGTCACATTGTTACAAATTGTTGGAATAGAAGATGGTAAGCAAGGGATTATTTATTTGCTTAAAGCAGAATAAACAAAGCTAAACCTCTGGCAATTATTGATTATAATTGCGCTGGTGATAAAATACGTCTAGCATGAAGAATGGTGACCTACTGTGTGGAGAACTTAGTATTTGCACCAGAAGTTAATGAAATTACTCTTTGCTTTCCTCCGTGATGAAAACCAAGGATATTCTCTCACAGGCAGAGCTTTAAACAATTCACTAGAAGCAGTTGTCTGTTCTTTCCACTCATCCCTGTAAACTGAATTTAGAATCAGCTTTTTCTAGTGCATTGTTCAGTGGGATCAACACTAGTTCAAGCTAAGATTGATCTAAATGTGCTGCTTCAATTCACTTGCAGTTTCTGTTTAAAGACTTAAAAGGAGGGAAAAGGACTGCAAAAATAATAAATTACAAATATTTATTTCTATGCTTCCATTTTGGGAGAAATTTTTAATGATACCACAGAAAAAGTTACCTACTTTAAATATCCAGTGTATTTCTGAAGTACCTTCCAAAACTCTCATGCCTAAATTCAAAATGAAGTACATCAAAAAAAATCGTGATGAGTCTAGGACTACTTTATTGAACTTTACTACATTTTTATGTTGCAGCAAATGAAGAAATTGCCATAATTACCTTTCGAAATTACATGTGGACAATGTAAATAGGAATTCATTGTTAACAGTTGTTCTTCATTATTTTTAATCTCCCTGGATGATCAGAGACAGTAAAACAAAAAAGATCACTGCAATATACCAGTGATACCATAACTTGAAAGCACAAAAGGATATATATGCTTAATATAGCAGCCCAAATCTGCTAACTATAATCCTAAGGGAGAGCATTGCAGGTGTCATTTCAGTGACCGAACAGCTTATTAGAGATGAGGTTCAGTGAGATGAAATCTACAGGAGCTATATTTTTAGGTTTTTGTTCTTTTTTTCTACTGGCTTTGTTGAACAATCTTTTTTTTGACAGTATCATAGTGGTTTAAAACTAACCAAACACTTCAGATAAGTTCACATCTATCAACAGGAAAGGAAACTGAAGAGAAAGACAAAAATCTTTACAAGGAAACAGAGGTAGTTCTCCACTGATCTTTCCTCAGAGACATTGTTACGAGCAACAAAACTCACACAGATTGCAGTGATGCAGCCTTGACCACTAATGCAGCCACTTGAGAAAAACAGTTAAAAACTTGGTTCAGGAAGATTAGGTTCAGGAGCTGAAGTGTGGCTTGTAGTCAATTGTGAGCCCACTATTAACAGGTTCCACTTCAACTGAAAATAATGAAGATGAGAAAGGTTGCCTGCTTAGACCCCAGCCCTTCAAGGTGACTTGAACTCTTGGAGCTCACCAGCAGTACTGGAATCTGTTTTTCCTCCTATTAAAATGGACTTGTGTCCATCAAATGGATGTTGGTAGTGCATTTCTTCTCCCATGTGTCTTTGAAGGGGAAAAAAGACTTTAAACTGTTTAGTTATCCACTCTACTTTCATCAGGCGAGTAAACTGGATGATAATTGAATGAAAGAGGTAAATAGTTTAATAAGGAACGTGATTAGAGCTCTTCTGTTTACAGGACCTGAGAGTTATTGATTACAGGGTGTTCAAGTGTAGCCTTTGGCATCTCATCATCTTCAACATTCAGAATGGACCTTACCCAGAAATGGGGAAACCAAGTAAATGTATTTAATAGGATTAACCAGTATTTCTACAAAAAATTAAATTAACTCAGCTTTTTTATATGCCCAGAATTCCATCGTCTTCCACTGTACTGTACACCTCCTGTGTGTCATTTGGCCTCTGTGTCCCTTAATGCTGTAGCTCATTGTCTGTATGCCATGTGAGACTGTCAGGGTATGTAGTATGTATTTATCCAATTTATCCAAAGCCTGACTTCCCATATTCCTTGTGCTGTTAGAAGTGTAGGGAAGGCCAGAATGGGAGAAATGACGCACAGGCTTTGTAAGGGACACACATTGGCCATCTGGGATATTTTCCCATAGATACTACAGATTTCTTAAGAGACCCTTTTTCAGTGGGCTATAGCAGCACACTATACATACAAATCCCAAGAGTTGCCAGGGCTCTGCTTGAGCAGCAGAATAGATCATGGGCTTTGCGCACTTCTTAAAACTTTTGCTTAACTTGGAAGGAGGACAGAAATTTTGGTGAGTTCCTTGTCTTCCTGGCATTTGCCAATAGGGCTTGACCTCACTAAAATAGAAGGGGTCTGTGTGGCTAGCACTGGTTATGAATTGCAATACAGACAGCTGACAAAAACCCACCCTTGTTTTTATTTAATCCTAGTATTGAAAAATAGATTAGAAAAAAAGCAGCTGTAGTGTTGAGAAGCCTAGGTTTAGTATAACATCTGCAGATGATATCAATCAAGCCAAGGATGATCAGAGTTGTAGAAGCCTTACAGAACTTCAGGGCTATACAGCAGTAAGTTTGCAGCAGGTCAGCGCTAAGTGGGGAGAAAAGGAGATGCTTCCCTTCATACTCTGACAGGAGTAAAGCAATAAAGCATAAGCTTTATTGCTGCTCTATTTATATGTGGTAGAACAAAACTGCATAAACAAAATTTCATACTCAATGAAAATCTGAGAGGCAAATAGCATTGTGGGGATCAGTATTATCCACCAGACACCAACCCCCCAAAAACACGGGGAAAAAATCTAAGAAAAAAAATTAAGGTAAATGTTAAATTAAGTAAAGTTAAATTAAGTTAAATGACAGTAGCATCTTTTAAAATTAGTTAGGTTTTTTTTCAAGAACCTGTATTTCTTTCACTGTGGGCTTCCAAGGTGAGTTTACATTTTTTTAAGAATGTCTACTGGTATCCACTGGCACCAATATGTGTTTTTCGTTTTCTTCAGTGCACTTTAAAAGGGAAGTTTACTGGAAGGAAAAATGTGCTGTTTTGAAAGGGTCTGATATGCGTTTATTTGTACCATCCTCATTTGTAGGCCTCTCCTCAGAGTCGAGATGTAGCTATTTTGGAAAATGTGAATGTGGGGAGAGTTTCAGTGTGTTCTGAGTAAATCAGACTCTGAAAGTAAATTTTTGCCACATCCCAGGCAAGTGAGAGTAGTGCGAAGTACAGAGCACCCTGTAAAGATCTCTCTTTGCTAATGTTATATTCTGTGTTAACTGGAGGGAATGAAAAATGCAATTATTGTAAAATTGATAGAATTTGCAAAATCTAATTTATTTTCACATGAGTTAGAAATTGGTAGATATTTATTTCAGAATTGAATAGCATTGTCTTCTAGTCCATAACTTATTGCATCTAAAATTATCTCTTAGACTTTCTCATGCTTTTTGTATTATTCCGCTGGAAAGGATTTCAAAGAAAGCCAGTTAATATCCATTGCAGTTCACTATATTTTTGGTCATAATTCTAGTTTCATTTTCTTGTGCAAGAGGAATGGAGAGCATGATGGCTTTTTCAAAATAAAAATAACACTGGCAAAACAAAAGCCTTGGAGATTCCCTTTTTTAGAAAACCCTCCAAACTCCCATCAATTTTTGAATGGTTTAAAAAAAAATAGTGTAGTTCTAGCATTTAAAAATACTAATGCTGTTGCAGCCTGGGTACATATATATATATATATATATATATATATATTCCTTGAAATAATATAATTTCCCTGAATTTTAAGGAAGCAGACTCAAGATGCACTTGCTAATAGTTCTGTATTGAAAGAGTGCCTTTCTGGATGGAAAACACCATGTGAGGTAGGTATTTTTTTTATCACTATCTTCATATACCTGTTTTCAAGACAAAGATCTGGAGGAAGAGTGTGATATTACTGAATTAATCTTCAAGTAGCATGAAATCTGAGTTATTTCCTGCTGGTCATCTTGCTGTTGTTCAACATTTGCTTAGTGTTTTTGTGAATGCAGTATGCAGGTTGCTGTTAACTGACAGCAGTCTGTGGATGATCTGATGACATAAAGAAACACTAAAGGAAACCGTTGATTGTGAATATGTTTTCATCCTTGGAAAATACTTAACTGGAGTTTGGTAGAAGAAGCAGATGACAGTATGAAGCACTCAGCTCTACTTCTGAGCTCAATACATTGAAAAAATTAGTTGAGTACTGCTTTGTCCTGCGTCATCATCTTGTGCTGGTGGCTCATCTGCATGGTAAGTAAAACTGCTATGAGGATGGAGGTCT